ATATATATATATATATAATTCGTCAAACCTCAAATGAGTAAAGCCCTCCGTTACGAGTCGGCGCGTCTCACGTCTCCCCTTCTCGTCGCGACTATCGGCGACGACTTGAGCGGGGCAGCGGCAGTGGGATCCAACGAGCGGTTCGGCTGCAGGTTGGCTTCGGTCCTTATGCTCTTCTCCTCTTCCTTTTTCCTCTTCGGATCTGGTCGCCCGGAACCGGTCAAACCTAGACTCGCGATCAAGAACGGATCGCGGACTGCCGATGGACATGTGGGGAAAGCCACGCTAGGATGAGGATAGAGAACTTGTGGCTGGACCTCTGGAAAGTTTCGAGAACGGATTTCTGAAAGAATTTGACAATTTGGAGTTTTAGGTGCCTTTGTCATGAATGAGATTCGGTGAGGATGACGATTTTTAGGGCAAAAAAGAGCAAATTTTGCTGTTTATGATTATTGTCTATTTACACGTATAGTTTGACTTAGGGTTTTTCTCCAATCTTGCTTATGTTTATCTTTGTCTTACATGAGCTGTTCTCGTGCAATAAATCCCAGACGTAAAGAAATTATTAAGTTGTTGATGCTTGCTTAGGGACTAGGTAGCAATTCAATAGCCAGTGTCAAGCCCACATACTTAAGCATTTCAAGCACAATTGTTTCAGATGTAAAAAGGATATCCAAAATTAAAAATTGAATCTCTTATTGCCAAGGGATTATTCATGTAGGTGGTCAGGGAGCCACAATTGATCAGAAGGGACAGTACCATTGTCTTTGGTAGTAGTGACTATCGAAGAGGAAAAACGTAAATAGTGAGATTAAAGTGGAAGTAATGAAATGGTAGAGAAGAGGAGGATTGAGAGAAGGGGAGAGGATAGAAGGAGAAAAGTCAGTGTTGATGTGAACAGGAGATGCAAGAAGGATAGAAGTCTCGGTGTTGATGTTAATACGAGACTAGGAGAGGATAGAAGGATAAATGTCTTAGTATTGATGTGGACAGAGAACCCATAACTCATAGGGATGGGGCTCAGGAGGCATCTTTAGGACCCATCTTCAATGAAGCATGCTGTCCATCTTTGTGGCTTCTAGTGGTCCTTAGAGTTCATGATCCTCCGTGGGAGGATGGAAAAAGATAGTTTTCTTAGGATTTGGGAATGAAAGAAATTATGGGAGGACGTAAAATATGACTTTTTAGGATTTGGGAGTGAAAGGAATGGTGGAATAGAAGCCGTGGGATGAATAAAATTATGAAAGAATGATTTGAGGGAAGTAAGGAAACCAAATCCAGGTCCATCAGATCTCAAAGCAGCAAGATTTCATTAATTGAAAACCAAATACACACTGCCTGTCTGTAATTTGGGGTGTTTTTGGTTTGCTCAAGTGGCGTTCCTGGATGAACAGTAATCAAAGAGCAACTGATGAGAGTTTTCTCGTGTCTGTTTTCTTAGCCCTTAAAAATTCTAAGTACATTTGGTTGGAAACTTAAGAATCCCCCTTTGATCAAAATAAACCTGACCTCTTACTGATCATCCTTACCAATTTACTATAAATATACATCCAACCAGTTCAGTCAAAATGGAAAACGACTCATATATAAACCTATAAACTCAACCTAACATAACGAAATTAACAATAATGAATTGACTGAAATATCGGCTGCATTATGTTTCTTTGCATATAGGTAACAGCCTACAAGTGATTGTTGTGCTGACAATGAAGCATATTCTAAAGATCATGGCTTTGGTGGTGGTTGTTGCTGGCCTTTGGATCAGCCTACTCCAAACATCAGTAGTTCCTCGTAGCTACACTTGGTTGGTCAGTTTCATGGCTCTTATTTATATTTTTTGAAGTTTAAAAATGGTCATCTTTCTCTTTAGGGTGCCAACAAATTTATCTTCTACTTTCCAGCTTCCAGTTTATCTCATCATTTCGTTAGGATGCTATGGTCTTCTCATGGTTGGAATTGGCTTGATTCTGTTTCCGACATGTCCCCAGGAAGCTGTACTGCTACAAAAGGTTGCTTTAACCATAAATGCTAATTCTTATCAATTATGTGGCTAAAGATCATGCTATTTTGGTCTAGTTATTTATGGGTTTCTTTTCTTACTGGAAAAAAAATTAAGGTCAAATTTCATGAAACATCACTTGTCTTTGTGCAATGCCAGGAACAAAAATCCTTGAGTAAATTTTCTTACTCACGGTACATAATGATTTCTTTTTAACTGAACTATTTTCTTCTGCTACGATTACTACTTAGCCAATTTGGATGATATAGCCTTTAGAAATACTTCCTGCTTCTTCATTTAAACCACAAAGATGAAAGTACATGGATGACAACCACAAGTACCAAACAGAATCTTGTTTCAATCATTGTCCCTTCTCTTATTACACCTGAGTTTCTGTTACAAAAGCACCTAGGTGTTTTGTCAAGGTGATGCAAGCTTATCATTTACTGGTTCTGCCGTTATCTTTATAGCTTTGAAATCTCATTTTATTTGATTATAATAATGAGGTTGTTTGCCAAGTTTTTTCCAAAACAAAATTGCCAAGCTGGGGATTGAACTGATTGGTAACATTAATGGGTTACTAGATATTTGACATATAGCTCCGAGTCTTTCAGAATTAAGGTGATTTTAAGATTTCAGTTTCTTATATTTTTTGCCAATCAGATTCACCAATGTACCTTTGTGAATAGAGCTTTATTATGAAATTTTGCCTTGGCCCATTTAAAATGCTTGACAAGGAAATTGTGTCTGAGTGCTAGGCCCTAACTGGCTTGAGGCGTATTGGTTCTTTGAGTTGGATCTTTTTCATTCACTTGAATTTGATAGTCAATCTGTTGAAGAATCAAAGGCTTATGTGTTCCGTTCAATTTAATGTTCATGATTCAGCATAAGTTGGACTGTCGAGTTTAATTGTGTGCTCACACTTTATATGCAAATTTACTTGTTTTCTGCAAACATGAAGTGTGTTTGTTTGCGTATGCTTGTATTTCTGGAATCTGGTCTATATTACAAAAGAGTTATTTGTCATGTTATGCAGGGCAGCTGATTCGAGTGTTAATTTTCCTTTGCTATGCAGGATATTGTGGAGGCCAAAGAATTCTTGACAAGTAGAGGGGTAGATGTTGGCTCTGATTGAAGTGGATTTCATACTTGGAGCTGTTTATGTGTTTTCACCTTATACTGTGACTCCAGGAGTTTTCCCTACTCCCTCCTGGTCTTCATTCAACTATCAATAGAGGGTTGCAGTTTGGGTTTTCTTTCATGGATCTTCCAGACTCATTCATAGTAGTCAGTTGTCATTCCTTCTGTTATATATCGCATGACATTCCGGAACGTGAAAGAAAAATTTTATCGTGTGATCTACAGTTGGCTCTGTTCTTTTTGGGTAAATTTCTATTTACTATAGTAACTGCGCAACTGTATCTATGAAATCCTGCAGGGAAATTTATTTTGCTTGAACAGTAACTTCTTTCTTGCAAGACTGAGGCAAAGTGTCATCAAAGATTGCAAAAAAATGTGTGCATTCTAATCTCTTTTTGCCATCCTTCTGCCATCACATGACATGTTGGGACCTTTTTCCTGTTCGTTTATTCTTCTCTTTCTCTTCTTGTACGTCCTCCATTATTTTTTTTTCCTTCAGTCTCCTCCTCTTCTTGCCCATCCTCCATTAATTTGTTTGTCATCATCTCTTTCTTCTTTTCTTCATCGTTTTCTTCTTTATACACTTTCTTCCTTGCTTTGTGGCACCTCACCTTTCTGGTCTTTTACATTTTCTTGGTTCTCTTATTTCTAGTCCTCTTTCTTTTTTTTTTCCTTCCTCCTATTCATTCTGCTTTATCCTGCACTTTTTTTTTTTTTACCTTCTCGTCTTTTTTATTTTTCTTATTGTTCTGCAAGATTAAGCATTATAGGAACAGTTTGATGAGAAAGTTTCCTGTGTTGCCTCTGTGCAAGAAATGAAGGCATAAAGAGGAGGGAGTGGACAAGTGGGTCCCATTTCATGGGGCCACTCGGCGTCCAATCAGGGGTCATGTTTAGGTGGGACCAAAGTAAGAGTCCGAGTCTTTGGTCCCGCGGTCCAACGTCTGGGTCGAGACCGGGGTTAGTTGACCAAATCTCCCAAATCGCGCGACCGGGTCGAACCGGGATTGGTTCGATTTTATAATCAAGATTTACGTAGACCGGTTCGGTTATTATGTTCAGGAATTGAGTCGGTGTGGCGGTTCAAGAAGACCCGTACCCATTTCTCTGCGTCAGTTCGGTTGTTCTCCGTAGGTCATGGATGTGGCGGCTGGCGAAGCTTCTGCCGCCCGCACCGCCGTCCTGTTAACCGGGGGCGGCTCCGTGTGCCCACCCCGGGAGGCCCATCCGGCGGAACCCAAGGATGGCGGCACGAATCCGACAAGCCGAGGCGAGGTCGGTTCTTGTCAAGTAGCAACGAAGCCTCTATCCGACGCGGACGAGCACAGGGGAAGGGAGGCGGAGGTGTCGTTGTTGGATGAGAGCAAATTTGACGTGAATCTCCAGCTCTGGTCTCTCCGGATTCCACGGGAACATTGCACGTCCGTCGGCCGCCTCCTCCACGGGTGAGTGCTATAACCGTTGAAATATACTTCATTCTTCTTTACTAACTTGTTTCATCCGTTTGGTATGGTATGCTGGAATTCAAGAAATAATATTTATGAGTTGAAGAGAGATATGAACGAGGAATCACGCGACGCACCAATATAATTTGACGAAAAATTTGTTTAGAATCATAAGGGATGAACCTATTCTTTGCCTATAGGATCACAGTGTAGCATGCAACTGTATTTGGACGCTAACGGATGAAAAATTGTGTTTGGTTGTCAACTAAATGGATTATTAGTTATTACGATGTGAAAAACTAGAACACAGTGTAGCATACAAAGTCAGAGGCCACCTAGGGATGGATCAATAAATCCTCACAGGAGTCTTGTACCATAGAGTATCTTGTAAGAGAAATACAATATGACAACGTTCATTATAAGGAGAAGAATTAGGGAATTTATGTCTTTATTGAGTTTCAATCAATATTTTAAGAGATGGTGCGTAGTCACTTTGGGTCACTTTGAATTGGTCATTGTCATTGGTGGTAGCAAGTCAAGCATAAGAAGCTTACGACAATATCTTGCAGTGGATTCAAGGCTTACATGAATGACTTACTTTCGTCAGTTGAGGTGCTGAATTATATATATAAACTGAAATGTGGAAAGCTGAGTTGACACATCACATATGAAGAGAGTACAGCATTTACATTACTGTTGTATATTCCTTTAACAATTGGCTGATATGAAGCATCCCTGCAAAGTTGGTGAGACATTGATAGGACTTACCTAGGTCCAACGATAGTTTATAAAGCCAGTAACAATTGTTCATTGACTTGCACAATGTTGTTCTTCTAGTAGGTTTTTTCAAGAGAGTTTAAAATTGCTGGTGTAAACTGAGACATTGAATTTAAACCTAAAAAAATCAGTTTCACTGTTTTGGCCAATTTTGTTGATTTATGGTGCTATTTCTATTCAGTGTTAGTAGAATCTCTAATCACTAATATTAGGGTTCTCCTCCAAACAACTCTAGAACTGCTTGAAATTTAAGAGGTTGCACAAGCTATATATGGCCCAGTATAATCCTATGCGACTAATATGTGGTCTGAACTCTGAACCCTAATGACATAATGCATAAGGGCAGAGTGGTAGGACTGCACAACCGAAGTGGATACTTACAGATCCATTTCGGTGGATTTACAAATCCATCTTTTATCTCCAAATGTGTTTCTTTTTACCTCCTAAATCATCTTTTTTATTCACAGAAATCTCTTGTTTTAGTTTTTGTGGCAGTTAAGTTGGTTACCATATTGAATAGTGGAAACCAAATGAGAATTTTGGTCTAAGTAGCACGTTCAAGTCTTACATTTCTTTTAGAATTAGGTGAAGAGGAATCCTATAATTGACCAATTTGGAAGCCTCAAAGTTTAGCGTAAGTAGCCTACCTTTTTTTTGTGGTACTCAGGTATCATGTTTAGTGATATACACACCCAACTAAGCCAAAAGGAAGCTGCTAACAAATTAATGTACTCAGTTTGGCCATATAAATTTCACTAGGCAATCTTCGTTTTTATGACACTATAAGACAAGCAAGGATTTAGATATCAATCAAATTTACCAGTCTGACCAAGTATTGGTATTAGAACTTATAGCAATATAGTATGATGCTTTTTTTTTAAAAAAAAATTCTCGTTGAATTGAGTTAGCTTGATACAGAACATATACATTCCTTTTTTTGATTATTTTATTCACTTATATGGGGCAATACAGGTTGGTATTCCAATAGTTTACCAAAACTGGTGTCAGTCTGTAATTTCAATTCTTCATAGCAAGAGATTGTGAGACAAAGAGACAGCCAAAATGACGACACTTTATTTTGGAATAGATGTTTGTCTTTCTATAGTATCTATGATACTTATCATCCCCTCTACCATCTATCCATTTTTATGTAGGCTATTGTCTTTTTTGCTTATTTAAATATAGATAGTTACGCAATTAGTTATTGGGCCAATATCTAGAATGCACCTGCACTTGCGAAGCAGGCTGTCCTCACTTTTAAAGTATGGAAATGTTATCCATTGCAGATATATGCTGGACAGAGCTCGTATCAAACCCATTGTTGAGGATCCAACTAGTGAGAAAAATCGTCTTGTCATACTATCTGAAAAGATACAAAATTCTGGTGAGGCTTTATGCCTAAATATTAGAAGTTGGTATTTCATGCAGCTGTAAAGTCTAGTTTATTTCTTGTGTTTATTCTTTTTGCAATTATATCTGTTATGATTATTCAGAGAGACACTAGTCAGGAAAAATTAAACAAAGGAACTAAGTCCCCCGAGAGTATAGCAATATTTGTTTCTTTATTTAGAGTAATATATGCTGTTTCATTGTTGTATTTAAGCATCTTCTCTCATGTATTTCAGCTAACAATTTTATCTTGTTTCTAGTACAGATTTATCTGAAATTCCAAGTCATGTGTTGGATCCCCTAAAGGGTCTATGCAACATTGAAGCAGTGCCATATTCATTAACACTAGGATATTCATATTGGGGTGCAGGTTAGTTGCATTTGACACTCTTCATGTTTAGTCACCTTATTAACTGTAGTTCATTGATATGGCTTTTTGCCCTGTTTCGTTGAGGATATACAAACAATTAGGTGATCATGGAAATATTAGGATTATTACAATCTCATCCTTAAATTTAATTCCAGGTTTTCATCCCACCAAATTACGTTCTATTAGCAGTTTTCCTAAGACCATGAAAAAAATAAAATATGAAATGCCTTATGTAAGAGTTATTCTACGAGCCACCATGGGTGAAGCATTAAAGAGTATGGCCTTGCATTTGATAATACCCATTTACCAAAAGGCAACGGCCTGGAGACCTTTGCAGTTCTTAGAAAACACTTGGTTGATAATTCATCAAGTCTTGTATTTTTCAGAACTACACAAATGTGAAGATGCTACTTTCTGTAACTAACGCTTGATCTGTGAATTTTGTGGACCTTCTAAGGAAATAACTCACTACCTTATACCCTTTGTGCAACTAATTTATTTTTTCCCCGTATTATAGAATGTGACCTAGCGAATTCCTTAATTATGAGACTCGCAATTACCTTTGTACTCCACCACCAAAATCAACATTGAACCTCGTACTTCTTCCTGACATCACCGCAACGATCACTTACCATGGGTGGTCTTCTTGCTACCTCCTTGCTGGAATCCCTGATGTTTTCCTACATTGGCCATTTACCTTACTTGCAAAACTTACACCAATATACCATACTTCTTCCAGCCAATGCTATTTCCTGGCTTGGCCATTTACCTTACATTGGCCATTTACCCAGTTTCGCCTCCATCGTTACTTCTGCTACATTTATCTTCATCACGTTTAACAAATCAGGGCTGCTGCCACTTGCAGCACCACCTCCATCTACATCAATGATGATGCCTTCTGCAACAACTAGGTTACCATGCATGCTGTCACTCACCATTATCATTTGCCTGGTGTCGACCTCCATAATCATCTAATACATTGCCATTTTGGCCAGTGTATCTTCATGACTGCTGACATGGCCTTATTCTTCTTGTCATTGCACCTAGTCCCTTGCTACAGCCTCCATCTTTTTCTGCACCCATAGACCATTTCTGTCATCTTAGCATCCTGTTTATTGCAGATAATGGGTGAACCATCAGGAAGGTAGAATGATAATCTGACATTTTCCAATTAAACTGAAATTTCATTATATATCAAGTATATAGGGGATTAAAGGTAAATTTGAAACCTAGAATGATAAGCTGTTGATAATCTCTGGTTGTCTAACATGCATATAGGAATAATTTGTTTTAAACCTTTATTCTCTTGTTGCAGATCATATTTTAAAGCAAATACTACCCCATGGAATGGAGGTACCAACTTCCTTTGAAACAGTAGTTAAGTTCCTTTTAGTATCCGTTGTTCTACTGCTTCTTAAGGTTTATGCAAGTTTTTGTTATCTATGACTTATGAAGATGATTATTCACTTTGTCAAAAATTCTTTATTCTACTTTCGAATTTGACTTTTCTATTTGCAGTGTCTAATTTGCTGAGGCTTGTTATATTAACAAAATATATTCTTTCACTCTACAGGACATGTTGCTCATCTGAATTTGACAGAAGACCAACTTCCTTATAAGGATGTCATCGCAAAGGTTATATATGATGTATGTCTTACTGATTTTTTTTTCTTGTATATACCTGCCTCATGCAGATACTCTCTAATCATGAATGAGCTTTGAACTTCTTGTTTGCATCATACAGCAATAGACAGCTATATGTCTAAGGAGATGTAAACATGTACAATGCCATAAGTTTAGGGTTATAATCACAGATAAAGATATTTATTTTAACACCGTCTTTGTCAATCCCCAGCTAAGGATCCTCTCTTTGTGGTAGCCAATCCCCTTCCCAACACCATCCAACCCCATTGATGGGGTCAAAGTTATCTTCCCAACACCATTCCACCAACAACATTTCCCAATTTTTTCTTAAGCTTGTGAGCATTTGACAAATTATGTATGAATAGCACTGTTGTTAAAGAACAACCAAGAAGTGTGCCTATGCTGGAGCTATATTTTAAACCACTCACTGGTGAGCTAAGATGACCAATCAGTATTACTGTTCTTAGGTCATTCACATATCATATGATGTGAGGTACCTGGTATAATGCAAAACCACATTAATTAGTGTAACCATCACATTTTGTCTCTTTTTTCTGTTGCACCATACTTGATAAAAAGTCCATACATCAAAAGTCAAATAGGAATGGCTTAACAGTGTCAATATCTAATTGCAAAAATACATAGGTGCACATGTATATTAGACTATCATACTTTTTGTTTCTCTCATCAAAAGAACAGACTTACCAGTGGATAATGTTAGATATGCTGAATCCTAGAATTTCTGGAGTTAGCTTATCTAATTAAGGACCATTCCAATAGCAAATATTAACATATAATTATGTATAACTGCTCCTAGGTTGGTGAGCACCTTAAAACAGTGAACCCCTAGTGTAGAAGTTATGTGCACCCAAGTTAGATTAGCACATGTATCATCTGACCTGGATGAACAACTGATACTTGTTTGCAAAAGTTAATGTATTGCTTGTCCTGCCTCCTTCCTACCAGAAATTATTAACTTTAGATTCCTCTCTCTCTCTCTCTCTCTCTCTCTCTCTCTCTCTCTCTCTCTCTCTCTCGTTCATGGTGTATCTGTGTTTCTTCACCTGATCATTTCAAGTGTTATATATGCACAGCATGATATTCCAATTGCTCCTTTCCCATTATCAACAGTGAATAGGAATTATTTGTGCTGAATGCTAATAGCATTCTTCCTTTGATTATTTTGCAAAATTAAATTAAGATTTGTGTAATCTCTCTTTTATTGCTCCTACATGCAGAAAAATCAGCCAATAATTCAAACTGTGGTGAATAAAATTGGAACCATTACAAATGAGTTTCGAGTGCCAACTTTTGAAGTTCTAGCAGGAAAAAGTGATATGGTCACTGAAGTAAAGCAGTATGGTGTTACATTTAAACTTGATTATAGCTTGGTCTATTGGAACTCGAGACTTGAACATGAACACATTCGCTTGGTTTCATTGTTCCAAAGAGGAGAGACAATTTGTGATATGTTTGCTGGAATAGGTCCTTTTTCCATTCCAGCAGCACGAAAAGGTTGCCATGTATATGCAAATGACTTAAATCCTGATAGTGTTCATTATCTACGGATTAATGCAAATATTAACAAGGTAGAGGACCGTGTTTTTGCATATAACATGGATGCAAGGGCTTTCATGCACCATGTAATGACAGTGCCCGATTCTGATGGTATGCAAAAAACTGGAGAAGCTGTTTCAAATGAAGATCATTACCACAAATTAGCAACCGATGAAAAAGAAGGTACGGATACCGGAGGAATTCATAACTAAGTCAAGAATAGGTGCATGTGTTTTCCCCTTCACTCCTACAATAACTGTTAACCATATTGTAGTTGTTACCCTAGAAATGCTCAATGCTGGAAAAGATAATCAAGATTCTGTAAATGGGTCATCTGTAAAAAAAAAAACTGCTGTTAAAAGACAGCTGGACAAGGCTAGCGAAGGTATGTTTGCTGAATGTGTATGAGTATTTATTTAAATTCAGAAAATTTTCGTGTTAAATAACTCCATGTTCCTGCTATAATGGTCCCTGTCTAGCCTGTCAAACTGGTGTCTGAATTAAAACATCAGTAATTACTTTTCTGCTACAACTTAGACTAATAGCACTAGTCTTAAACTTTGTATTGTTATGTGATGGACTCTTATTGTTAACATATAGTTTTCAAAATAGTATGGAGATCTTGATTACCGAATATTGCTATTGAGAAACAAGAGCGGAAGTCTTTTTCTATTGGCAATTTTGCCTGTAATTAGAATTTAGAAAGCATCTCTTATGAAATACTTTCTTTCATGTAGACAGGGTGAAACCGATTCTTTTTTCCTTTACATACTGAGCACACAAGTATGACAGACCTTAACATAATATGATACCTCAAGAGCTGCCTAATTAAGGAGATCCTTTCTGAGGAGTGTAGTCACACATCTCCTTGCCTCACTTCTGGCATCTTGAGTATCTTGTAGTAATAATTGTGGAAATTACCATTGAGAAATATTTACCATCCTATTGGCCTTCCATTCTTGTTATATAGTTATGGTTTCTTCTTTAGATCAAATTGCTGAAGAGAGATTTGTAATTGCAGTGTTTCAGGGAAATAGGAATACCAACAAGAGAATCAGAGGCTTCCATTTAACAGTGTTTAGGCCATGGGAGCATGTTGACCATGTAATCATGAATCTTCCAGCTTCTGCTTTGGATTTTTTAGGTGAGCTTTTGTTTTTATCATTTTTAGTGGAATTGTGAATGAAATGGTTTGGCCAGCTAACATATACAGAATGTTATAAGGTTCAGTACCATTGGTTATGCAGTGATTAAAATTTTTAGAGAACAGATATACATATCTACATTGGCTGTCTAATATATTTTACCTCCATCTCCTTGATGAATACACCTAAACCTATTTCGGTCCTGTTTGTAAAGTTGATAGATCTTCGATGGCTCGTGCAATTCCTAGGCAGCTATTTTTTTATGTAGGTTTGTCTCTGATGAGGTTATCATTATAATATCTAGTAAGGTTAGTATTACTTGGTATTTTGTTCACTTGGATTATATCTACTTGGTTACTTGTGAAATATGACAAATGCATGACTATTATTGTTGTAATCTTCTTGACTAATGGTGAATGACCAAACAGGTGTCTTTAAGGGCCTTATTCAAAGGGAACACTGGAGGGGGTCTTTACCTTGGATACACTGCTATTGCTTCATTCGATCAACTGAAACCAAAGAATCAATATTATCTGTGAGTCCTTCACACGTGATTTATGATCTTGTATTGTTTGTGTTCTTGTACTTTGTATAAGCTAATTCTGAAAACTTTCTAATCAACTATTTTACCTTCTCAAATTGAATAAACTAAAATATCTTTTCTTTCTTATTGATCCTCAAAGCTCAGGATATTAGCTTCCAAAAGTTTAATCATTCAAAGTCTATACCACAGTTCACATTAGACATCTTAATCAAGCCATAAAGGGGCTTGCAGTTCAAATCTTAGTATTTCTCTAGTGTCTTTCCCTGCTATTTTTGTTAAATTTTATTTAATCATGCAAATAAGGAACAAAGAAAGTAACTAACTATTAGTTATATAAGAAAGTAACAGTCAGGGGATGTACACAGAGGGAACTACATCCAGTTGTATTGTGAAGCTAAGGTTTTTTATTCGATCTTGGTACTGGATAAGCCTGTGTGCTTACAGTTTGTACTTTGTAAGTATTACACCAGTTTCAGTCGGGAACTGCTGGAAGCTAATTATAATAGCTGCAAGGATATTTTAGATTACAAGAAGGTTGGAACCAACTCGCTGTGCTTCAATGGGTAATTCTTTTTGTGTAAGAGTAAAATTTCACTGAGGCACCTACATTTGCATATCTGATGCAGAGAGGACTTAAGATTTTTAGTCAGATTCACTGTCGGGCTTGTGCAACACTTGATAAAAGAAATCTGCTGGTAACTATGCCAAGTTGTTGGTTCTTTCCAAAATTTACTGAATGACATGTGAATCTTTGTCCTATTGTCATTTTTATCCTGTAGTCACTAGACATAACTTTTGTTAACCATATCCTATAGTTTGGATCTTGGCACAATGATAGGTACACAGATGTTTTTAAACTTGAAAACAGTAACCTAATTGTGTCCCTCTTTAGCCAAAGACCAAATATATCAATAATTCTTCTTTGGGGTTTAGGCAGGGTTTAAACAACTACATGCAGTGCATGTGCAGGACAGCGACTGTATAATACATTCCATTATGTGTTACTACTGATCATGTCATACAAGGCCTTTGCATGAAATGTATTCCGAGTCATATTTTTGGCTGGCACCTTACTTTTGGTTTCTAAGAAGGTTTTCGAATTGGGATGGTGATCGTGCCACTTATCCAGAAAACAGAAAAAGTTGGATTGTTTAAGAGGATATCGCTTAAACAATTCAGTTGGTTTTATTGATCTCAGGTGGATTCTAAAGAATAAAATCTAACAATTCAAAATCTGATAGCTTATTGTAAGACATCATCTAGATTCAACCTTGGATATACTTAGGTATATAGAGAAGTTGTGAAATAAAGATTTAATTTGGTTTCTTATTCTGTTTGACAAACTAATAAATCTAAGATATCCAAGAAAACCAATGGATAGAGGAAAATCTTTTGTGGTGCATGTATACAAGAACAAATATGATATCAAGAGCAAAATTTTAAGAAATTATAGTTCCTAGCTATAAAAGCTTTAGGAAAGAGCTCAATTAAGCAACAAATAAGATGTCAAGTCAATGTTCGATAAAACTACTATGGTTTCATGTTAAAAAGAACCACCATATAATTTTGACTCTTTCCTAATGGACAATTGATAAAAGGAACATAGAGAAAAGAAGAAAGAATTGCACATAATATTTGTTTGCTTGAAAGGTCATCATAAAATATGTTGTTTTTTAGAAAGAAAGAAAGCCTGGAAAGATACTTTAATTTGATTTGAATATCTATGATGGAGCAATTGTATATGGACGATATAGGGTGAGACAATTGACCTTTTGATTACTACATGTTGCACCACACCGCAGATTAATTTCTATCTGTCTGCATTATTTGTGGATGAATCTAATGATCTTGTTAAGATAAGTTGGTTTATATTTGCTGCTAATAGTATTTGATTAATGAGAGTAGCAAATATGTCAAATACAGCAGATTCTGGTATATCAATGTAAAGAAGTGTTTGATACTATAACATAAAGTATGATTTGATTCAAGGACCACTGTTTTGGGTATCGGACCCGTATCACTGTTTGGGTCATACCCATACATGCCACTTAGTATCGGTGTACCAATATCTGGTACACCAGTACGTACTGGTGATTTGAAAAGAAAGAACTCAAAGAGAAAGATGTAGAAGGAGAAGAGGAAGGGGTGGTGGAGGAAGGGAAGGAAGGAGGAGGAAGAAAGAAGAGGCGACGGTGAAGGAAGAGAAAGAAAGAAGAGAAGAGGGAGGAAGAGAAAGAAGAGGAGGTGATGGAGGAAGAGGACGATGAAGGAGGAAGAAGAGGAAGAGGAAGAAAGAGGAGGAGAAGAAGCATGCACTGGTAGGTGGCGGCGGTGTGCTGTGGCGATGTGCGGCAAAGGATCTCACGATGGGTCCAGCTTGAGCATGAGACGCCATTAGGACACAAGCAGATGCATTTTATTTAATATGGCGAACTGGACTGCCCCCGTTTGAGTGGTCCTGTGTATCGAATTCATACTGGGACCAGTACATTAGCTTGTTTTGTATCGGTCTGGGCGAAACAATGTTCCCTTGTTTGATTCATTGATCTCAACAAAAACTAACAAGGGCAAGTTCCACATTCATTGAAAAATATTTGAAATGCATTTAAAACTGAAGTTCAGAAAATTCAGAAAGCAAAAGCTTTTGGTATCTTTTATCTGCATTCAACAAAAAGAGAAGGTTGAAAAGGATTTTTTTCTCTTATATTATGAAAGCAAACCATTTAAAATAGTGCTTGGACTGACCATATTGAGGTGCGCCAGGCATGCCATATTTTATCGGCATGGAGTTTCATTTGGTGTTACAGGTGTATTGGCACCCCCTTTCATCAAATTTGGCTTGTGTTGGTTGGTGCAAAGCCCATGATATACTGTGTCAGTATGTTGCTGCAAGGACATACTGATAAAATCAAATTCTTGGTTTAGACTTCGGATTGGTGGTATCTGGAGAGGTGGTGGAAACTAAGAAGGCTTGATCAGAGATAATAGTGAAAAATGTGATGATCCTTGGATTGTCTACTGATGTAGCCATCAATAAAGCTACATTGAGGATAATCTTTGTGGCTAAATGAGATCAGTGTCTTTTTGCTGCCACTATATGATTTGCCTATGTCAGCATACCTGGAATTGTCTAATTTCTCCTATCATACACAATACATTTGCATTACGTTTGTTTTCTTTTTTTCTTTTCAATACATCGAAAGCATTCTTCCGGTTGTACCAATTTTTTCATTTGAAGTGGAAGGCCAACCTACAGTCTTTTCATAAATATCTGCTCAAATTGTTGCAGCACAGTTTCTTTAATTCATTTATTTAGTGATTTTGAAAATTTTGATCTCTTTCTTTTGCAGAAAGCAGAGTCTCTTTTGAGTACTAAGATTGCAGACCCAATTTTCCATCGGGTCAGGGACGTTGCCCCCAACAAGGTATTAACATACATTGTTTACTTTTCTAAATATGTCAGTTTTCAATTCCAGTTCTCATTGTGGTCACAGCTTAGGAAGGCAGACCTAGCATGGGCCTTAGAATCCAAGCAACATACTCCATCCAATTACTGTGACGACTTAAAATTATCAGGAGTTAAATCTTCGATTATTTATTTTCTTTTATCCTGTTGATCATATTTCTTTGTAATAACCTGCAAAGAGCCTGATTTTTCTCATTATCTTTTTGCATTATTTTTTGAATTGCATAACCTTTTCTCCCTATTATTATGTTTTCAGGCTATGTTCTGTTTAAGCTTCAAGCTACCAACAGAGACCTGTTGCCGAGATGTTAATAACGTTGGTGCTGAATGAAATAGCTTGATATGGATAAAATAACTATATAATGAGTAAACTTTGCCGGAGATGTATCAGCGCCCAACGGAAGTTTGACAGTATTGAACTATATACCAGCTTTATAGTGTCGGATGTATCTTTGACTATAACTATGATTGGAAAACCATGAATTCTAACCTAGACAAGAGGATATCGCTTAAACATCTGATTTAGCTTTATTTTGTGTGAATTGAGGAAGGAAAGGCAGACATGAAATGTTTCTGTGACTGTTGACAGGAGTATATCACTTAAACATCTGATTTTTAGCTTTATTTTGTGTGAATTGAGGAAGGAAAGGCAGACATGAAATGTTTGTGACTTTTGAGAAGAGTGTATCACTTAAACTTCTGATTTAGCTTTATTTTGTGTGAATTGAGGAAGGAAAGACAGACATCACATGGTTACAGATATATTATTGTAGGAGGAGACCATCCAAAGATCATGGACAGATATATTATTTGTAGGAAGAGACCATCCAACGATCATGGACTAGTTTATGAAAGGCCACCTTTGACCTCATTTCAATCATCGGCATTTGGAATCCTTCCACCACTTCTTGTCGAACGGAAGTAGTTCTTTTCTGCCAAACCATTGTTGGCCAATCCAGCGTTAGAAGACCATGCAGAATGAAACTTGGCCTTTGTCCAAGTTTGAGATCGCCAGAGATGAACGCGAACAACACTCTGAGGAGAGGAAGGTGATGTTCTGATGTGGATGGTTGCGTCCACGAAACCTTCTCTCCCTCTGTAAATACCCCACAAGTGGAGGTCAATGGCGCATCGAGGGATTTCTACGACAATAGCAACACCCGGTGGCCGTGCGTCGCGGGGAAGAACTACCACGGCCACGGCCCTCTTCAGCTCTTGTGGAACTTCAACTACGCCTCGCCGGCAACAGCATCGGGTTCGACGACCTCGACGCCCTGGAAACCATGGCCAAGAACCCGTTGTCTCCTTCAAGACGGCCCTGTGGTTTTGGATGAACAACTATCACTTGCTCATGGCTTCCGGCTAAGGATTTGTGCCCACGATTCGAGCCATCAACGGTGACCTCAAATGCGACGGCAAGAGTCCATTAAAGTTTCTTTGTAGATCGATATCGCTACAACTTACGGATCCGATGATGGTATGTTTGTAGATCAAATAAATATTTTCTGAATGATATCGAAAGGTATGAAATCCTGATATTGGTATATTGTTATTTGATTTCGATTCTAACATTAAAGTTTTTTTCTTTGCATAATAGTAGCACAATTATAATTTTTATAGTTACAATTGATATCAGAGTCGAAATCAAATACCTTATATCATAAAAATATATTAGATCTGCCTTGTATTTAGATATGTTTATTAGTGCTCTTCGCTTTTGAAAATATCTTATTCGGTTTTGATTATATAATGCTTGAACGATCCATCTTTGTTGTTGATATGTTTTTCTATCTCATCTATCCTATCCGATCTCTTCTTGGCTGCTCACGGGCGATGTAATATCCATGCAACCATGACAAATTGCTTGTATTTGTTTGGCGGATTATTGTTGGCAGCTTGTTACAACAACTCTATTGAGGACAGCGACCTCCATTGGTTGTTGGCCCTATCGCGAGCAATGATTACGTGGATGGCAATCGTCACTGCGTCGATGCTACCTGTAGAAGTCTAGGTGGCATGCCTTCGTTGCTGGTGACTGCACACATAGTGGGGCTGTTGTGCGTTGTATCAAAGCAAGGCAGGGTGCTGTCTTTGATTGACGATGGTAGCAATGACGTTGCGGTAGTGTCTATTGGTTATGATCGATATTGATGAAAAGCCGAAGGCCGTAGTTTATAGTGGCTATGTAATGACCGCAAGGGTTGTTGGTTGATGACGAACACATGCGATTGATGAGACTTGCACGACGATAAAAACCGCGCATGAGAGAAGGGAACATCGATGAGGGATTGCCTATGAACAACGGTCGACGAGCGATGGTTGCACTATGTCATTGAACAATATTGGCTAACAGTAAAGATCAGTTGGTTGCGCACATGGGTTCCATGGAAGGGAGTCGTTGATTAGTCGCGTAGGGAATTCGGGTCAGCAGGAAACGAATGGCTATGCATCATAATGATTATAGGTAACAAATTGTCGCGCACCAGTGGTCGCATTCCTCACCTAGGCTATGACAACCGAAAGGGATTAGTTTTGCCCTTATGAACTTTTTTAATTTCAATCGGTGTCCTTTTAATAATTACGTCCTTGAAAAATTAGATATTTTTAATATATATCCAAAAATTATAGTTTCACCATTCAAAAATCAAATATTTCTAACTTGTCTTCTCAACTATAAAATTGATAAATGTGATTTGTTTTAATCAAATATTTTTACTGGACTTGATTCTAACTATATTTTCACTACTTGATTGGATTTAGATTCGATCAATCTCATTTTGATCGAATTTGAAAAAAACTAAATTTTGATTAATTTTTGACTTTGATCAATTTTAGTATTTGGCTAACCTAATTGGGTTAATATTTAGCGAGCCTATCTAATTAAATAAGGTTGATTGGTCTATACGAAATTAAAAATATAAATTATAATTTTTTTATAATTTTCTCATATGATATATTGATAAAAAATTTGCTTGTGATAAGTAAATTTCAATTATTGTTCCTAGATATTTATGTAATTATTCGCATGCATATGTTTAATATTATGAAATAATATTTATTTTATATAAAAAATATGATTTATGTTTTATCATAACTATAATTATTATATGAGTTTTCTTTTATACTAATTAATATTTAATAAATATTATGATTATTATTTTATTAATATTAAACTATTTCTGTATATATTAGATTAAATAATATTTGGTGAATATTATTTATAATTTATATCCTTAAGTTTTATTTAACTTGTAGTTATAGGATGATAGACTTATAAGATATGAATTAGAATAAATACTTTATCATTTATAGAATATTTTAAATTATTATAATGGTCTTGTAGTCATCAAAGTGGCCTAGATCATTAAGTTATAAAATTATATTAAAAATTATTCTTAAATAATAATAAAAAATAATATTAGTAATGACACATAATTAGAAGATTTAGATAATCACAAAGAAGAATATATTAAAATAATTATGTGATAAGGTAAGATAATATTATTTTGGATATCCTTATAATTTATGGTTGCATATGTAACGGTAACAATACTATTTCACAAGAATAATATTAGTCATCCATAAATAATTTTGAGTGAATATTAGATATATTAATATTTTATCCAAAGGTAAAATATGAATGATATAAATAATTCATCATATTTAGAAATTTAAAATATTAATATTATTTTATAATTTATAGTGTTATTTTCTCACATACACTTTTATATTTTTAGTATTCATGTATTGTATAGTTCAAATTATTTGGAATAGTTAGAGTATATGCAATTCAGTGTATTAAATTTTAATTTAGTATTATTTATTGAAAGAACCCTTAATTGATGAAAGCTCCAGCGATTAAATTAATAAAATGAATGCTTGGAAAAGATTTAATAGGCTCAATCTAATGTTTATAAGAATGATAATTACAAATAACATAAAGATTTTATTACATCATATAACTAGTGCATATGAGTATACGAGCATATAAAAGATATGATGATTGCTTATTACTAAAACTTTATAGCATGAAGTGTTTAAAGAATATGTTCTTAAAATGCTGCTTATGAGCAAATCATAAAAGATATAATGATACATGTTTAAGCATATATTGTTATTGATATTTTCTTTATTTACTTAATTAAACTTATTTATTTCTATTATTCTATTTATATTTATGTTTATGTATATTATGATTAAATATGATAATAAAATTATCTTGACAAGACAAATTACATGAGTCATAGGTTATATTATGAAAGATAAATAATGTTATAGTACATAAAAGGACGTATGACATTGATGACATATAACTATTATGACTTGTATTGATAATCGAAGTTAATATAGTATTATTGAACTTATTAGACTTATCAAATTATTTTAAAAAATTATGCCAATATATAAAATACTTTTCAAAAAATTTAAAATCTAATTAGGCAAATTTATTTTTAAATACACTTTTATTTATTTATTTTGATTTTAAATTTCTTTTATATCTTACTAATTAATGAGCTAAATGGAAGAATGTTAGATTATATGGTTATATTTAATTAGGTAAGATATATTATATATTTAATTAAATTCTTATTATGATTATCAACTAATATAAAGGAAGTCTACTTATGATAGGATTCCGTAGGAGATGAACTTTTTGTGAGGGACTCTTCTAATTACCATCTTAGACTCTCTACTCTTACGTATAAAAAGATAAGACTTTTTAGGGACAAAGTACCATAAACTAAGATTATAGATCTATTTTTAATCTTCCTTGGTCCCTATTTGATCACTTATAATGGTCTTGTAAAAGATAAAAGGGAAGAAGATGAATCTAGTTTTCCTTGTAGATCGATATCGCTGTAGCTCATGGATCTGATGATGGTGTATTTATAGATAAGATAAATTTTTTTTGAATGACATCAGAAAGTACGTAATCCTGATCTTGATCTATCGTTATTTTATTTTGATTTTGATGTTAATTTTTTTTTGCATAATAGTAATATAAATTTAATTTTTATACTTATAAAATAAGCTTTCAATCTTTAGAATCTCAATACACCATGTGATAGGGTTCACTTGAGTGAATAAAGAAGAGAGTAGATAAGAGAATAATCTCTTCCTTTATTATACGTGCAGAGTCAATAATCTTTTGCATTTCTCCATCTAAATTTGAGTTGCAAAGCTGCACAATCTACTAATTATCAATCATAAGGTCCATAAGCTTACAACATTTGAGGTGCAGAAGCTTACTATTCATCGTAGAATGTTCATCAAAGTTTCAATACACAACTCCCCTTCAGAGAGAAAAGTTGGATACAATCAACTTAACATTGCAGGCATAAGAAGAAAAAGAAGAAAAGTTCATATGGACTGTCACTCGCGAGCGATGATGACCAACTGCTTGCCAACATTTCGACCAGCAAAGAGGCCTACAAGTGCTGCAGGGGCATTCTCAAGTCCTTCAGCTATGTCTTCCACGTACACGATCTTCCCTTCCTTTATGTACTGCACTACCTTCTCCTCAAATTCCCGGTAGCTGCGGAAGTGATCGAATACAATGAACCCCTGCATGCGGATGCGCTTCGTGACGATGGCGAACAGGTGGTTCACACCTTCGGGTCTTTCGACGTTGTACTGAGAAATCATTCCACATGCGGCAATTCGGCCATTGAGCCTCATGTTGCGGAGAACAGCTTCAAGCATCGCACCGCCGACGTTCTCAAAGTAGATGTCGATGCCCTCTGGGAAGCACCTGACAAAAACATGTTTCCATGATATAGAATGAAATGCTCTTTTAGCTGGAGAAGGTTAAGAAGTCTACTCCATGGCCAGCTTAGGCTCGAACAAGAAAGTTGTCTTGGGAAATCGAAGTTTTCAGGGACAATTAGAGCATTAGGAATCAAACAAAGGTTCACTTTGAAGTTTTCAGGGACAATTAGAGCATTAGGAATCAGACAAAAGTTCACTTCTAATACAGCGTTGATTACAACAGATCATGCATTTCATGCAAAGAAAATGGATGCAAGAGCCTGACATATGACCTTCAAAAGACTGAATTCTGCACCAACAAGTGACTTACCTTCTCAGAGCTTTATTCAGATCAGGTTCTTTCTTATAGTTGAAAGCCTCATCAAAGCCAAACTTGTTTTTCAGTAGATTGACCTGAGAAAAGAAATGCAGAGGAAGAGTGAAAAGTTGAAAGACGAACATCCCCGAGTTTTATGCGCATATGAGAATATTAAGACATAATAGACATTTACAAACATGAGACAGTATCCATCAGATCATAGGATCAGTTTGCCATGTGAGAACCATATCTTGCCCTCCACTGGATACAGGTTTTGAACAAAGTGTGAGTTTCAATAGTAATGCCGATTTAACTTGATGCAGTATTAGTTTTCGGTCTTATGCATCGGCACTTGATGATCGATCGGTCTTAAAAAACTGGCTTGCATCATCAAAGATTAACATGAATGATTTACATGTGCATGCTACCATCTGGTTAGAGAAGTAAACAGAATCCGATCAAACCTTTTCGTCAGAGCCAGCACTTCCGACGACATAACAGCCCATTAGCTTTGCAAATTGCCCCACGAGCTGGCCAACAGCACCAGATGCTGCTGATATGAAGACGCGTTCCCCCTTCTTAGGGGAGCCAATCTCGTAGAATCCTACATATGCTGTGAAACCTGGCATGCCTGAAGACCAAAATACAAAAGATGATATTATAAAGTGTCTCAAGCACAGAATTCATGGTTTAATGGATGTTCAAGATGTTACTTCCTCGAGGAAGAACCAAAGTACTCACTTAGTGAGCTTATACTCGCGTTTCTTGGCAAGCTAATATATATGGCTTTTAAAGCATCGAGTATGTGAGTATAAGCTCACTTCCAAAAAATAAGATGGATGGAGAAAACCTTCCAAAAAATATAAATTTTAGTTTGTTGGATGGAGAAAGCCTTTTAAAAAAATAAGGTATGTGGTTTACAATACTAAAGAAAAAAATTCATAATTGCAGTTAAAGATTCAAAGCTTTTGCTGCAACCAAAAATTTTTGGTACCCTGAACTGAATGTATCGATAAAAATAGATGTTTCTTTTGCTTCAAGAAAGGAGTCCCTTTGCTTTGTATTCTTTCTTTCTAGTGTTAAATGTGTTATGTGATGCATTTGAATAGAACTTTTCCTTCAAAATGCTTTGTCGTTGTTGGTGTTCACCCTTAAAGACACACAATCGATTATTCTGATAATCGATTATGTTTCTGACTTCTGCTTTGGTGAACTCAGATTACGTTTCCAATAGTTTTAGACCATCTCGACATATTCTTTGATAGAAATTTAGTTTAGAGATATCAGTTTTGTATAAATAGGACATCTTTCTATCATTACCAAGAGAAGTATCTATCCTCTATTCAAATCAAATCTCTTTGGTTGCCTCAAACATCATGAGTCGACCTTATATCTCAAAGTCAAAAGTCACTCAACAGTAAATTAAAAAATGAACTGAAAATCTTACATTCACATAATTTCTTATTAATAATCATCTAATTGTTATCACTTTGATTATATTAGGTAGCAATCAAACACGTTTCCGATCGGAAGTATAAACACTTTAGATAGGCCATGCATACATTGGCAACATGATCACCAAATTATATTTTGTTGCAGAAAGAAGAACATACAATTAATTACCAAGTAAAATGACTTGTAATGACAGATATACAAGAACCAGCAACTCACCAAGAATACCAGTATAGTAAGAAAGAGGCACATCGGTGTGGTTGATCTTGAAAAGTCCCTCTGTTGATGTCATGAGGCTATACTCTTCCCAACCGGTGATACCCCACACATAGTCGCCGATCTTAAAATCAGGATGCCCGGAGTCCAAAACTTTGCACACACCATAGCCGGTTATCGGCTGCACGCACGACACAAACAGGGCAATCATGAACGAAAGGAGAAAATGTCATCTAAATCTAAATATTCAAATAGAATTAACCATAGCAAAATATTAAGTTAATGGGTTATTTTTACTTGGGTTTGGCACTATGATTTCTCTAAAGAGCTCTGGATCCTTGGTCAGCCCCATAAATCCCGAATGGTAGGTAGGTATGAACCATAACCTAAAACCTCTCCATGGCCACATGAGCAACAGATGGACCAAACTAGATTATCGCAGATAATTGTTTGGGAGTTCATATGTCTCTTCGGAGAGGGGTAAAGGAAAAATCTAGGGCAGCACAAGCAGGCTCTCTCTCCATCGGTCTCTTTTCAGCAACACCATCACCATTCTTCTTCTCTGTTTCTGCACTCGATCTCTGTTCCACCAAACCTTAGAGACCTTGCAATCAACATATGGTTTCCTCCTTTCCCTAACCAACATCATCGATGCCCTAGGGGAAAAAGACCATCCGATTCCCTAAAAGCATAGACAACCTTCACATGGTAACAACACTAATTATCTCCTCCGCATACACACAAGTACTCGTTTATCAGTCATAAAGAACACAGAACGATGAGCTACATCATATCGAGAGAGAGAGAGAGAGATAGGCAATGGGGTGTTGCAGAATGGGTGGTACGGTACCGTGCCGGGGACGAGGTCATCGACATAGCTGGGCTCATCGTGCTTGGTCATGCGAGAGCGCATGTAGGGGTCGCAGGAGAGGTAGAGGTTCTTGACGAGCACGGCCGTCGACCCCGGAGGGAGCCGCAACCGGAGGGTGTCCGTCGCCACCAGCTCCATGTCGCTCTCCGTGGCCGGCCCGTCCGGGATGTAGTGCTTCAGCACCACCTTCTTGTTCACGACCACCTTATCCTCCATCTCTCTCTCTACTCAGCGATGTGATGAATCGAGAGACTCCCGTGTTGGCCTCTTTAGAAGGATCAATGCGAAGGTTTCAAACGTGCGTCGAACGCGACCTGCTCGTTCTACGTGGAACACGACGTCCACAGAAGCGGAGAGTGATTCTAGTCGATGAAGGTCTCAGATCCACATGAATCGTACGCCACAGTGGATGTCGGTTCGAGTAAGTCAAACGGACACACGTCACACGATTTGGTCTACTCATATACTAACTGATGGCGTGGGATCATCTGGTCCACACACTACTGTACCACCGTCCTGCAACCGCAGGATCACTGGCGTCAGCTAATTCCACATTATATATATTATATATTATATCCTCTCTTTTTTTTGTCTTTTCCAAATAGTATTCCTGATTTAAGAAATACCTAAAAAATACCCCTTCTTTTCCTCCTCCCTTCTTTTTCATCGTGTCGCCTCTGCCCCTTTCGCCGCCCGACGCCTCCGCTGCGTCTGACCCTTGCTCCCATCGAAAGCTCCACCGCCAGTGAAGAGAGGTGAGGAAAAGAGGAGGGGAATGGTGGAAGCAAGGAGACGATGCGAAAGGATGAGAGAGGAGGAGGGGAAAGGGAGGGGAAGGAAGACGGGTGGACAGTAAAGGAAGAAGAGGGAAAGAGGAGGAGGCGAAAGGGAATGAGAGGGAGGAGACGGGGGAAGGGCGGGCAACGAGGACGACGAAGGCAAGGGAGGGATAGTTTGGTTAATTTTTGAATGATGGGCACATTTGGGAAAACAAAAACAAAAGAGGAGCGCTGCTTAGAAAAACCCAAAATGAGAATGTTTTTCAAAAGAAATTATCCTATAAATAAAAATTTAATTTATGATTAATATTAAATATTTTTATCAAAAAAAATTCTCACTATTTTTTTACATTTTTACATGAGGGTATTTTTTTTTAAATGAGGGTTTTTTTTTTTTCTTGAGGGCATTTTTACATATTCATTTTTACATGAGGGTATTTTTTTTTCTTGGAACAAAACACTCTCATACTTTCACTTAAATGATTTGATTATTTAAAAAATCTTAATTTTGATAATTAATTATTATCAATTTTTTAATAAAAAATAAAAAAATGATAATTATCATCTTAGAATCATGTCCTAATGATTCTAAGATGATTAGTCTCATTTTTTTTATAATAATTAATTATCAATTTTTTAAAAATAACATATGTGATCAAGTCATCTTATTAAAAAAATAAAAATATTTTCGTCCAAATAGGAAAAACAAAAAAGCCATTCCCAAGTAAAAAAATGAATATAAGCGGTTTTTTTTGGATAAAATACCCATTAATATTCTTCATATAGTCAACCATAAATGTTAAAATTGATATAAATGGCTTTAGAAACTAACAAATAAAACTAAGATCTGCTAATTCTAAAATAAAATCATAGATCATGTCTTATCTGATGTTAAAATGTTAAAATTGAGAAATACTTTTTGATGTAATGATATTGATTACTAGTTTCAAAGTGAAATAAATTGTATTAAACTGTTATCTTGATCATGTACTGAGAACATGTCATAATTCATCTAAAATTTGCAATGCACAAAATACTCTATTTTCACATTAAAATAGTGTATTAATGCGCAAGATACTCTATTTTCAAACTATACAACAATATATATAGATGTTGAAAAAATTCCTAATTCAATCTAAAGTGTTGTGTGGGAGGTCACATCTCAGCATAGAATGTATTTGTTGAGTCCCAAACTGGTTTTTCTTCAGCAAACTCTTGCACTGATGGCTCTTCTTACTGCACATCAACAAATAAAGTATGTTAAAAACATTCTAATATCAAGCATTAGTTGAACTGTTTCACCTGATTCATGTGAGATCCCAATCCATCTTGTCTTGTATCTTCTCATTCCATATATGTTGTTTTTTGGGGGTGGGAGGGGGGGGGGGGAGGCAATAGCAGCAAAGGAAACCTTCAACATCTGAGTGTTTGCAGTAGTAGATTTCAAGATCCCACTGTGATGATGTTACCAAGCAGAGTAGGTTAGTGTTTTGGAGTACAACAAGCAATATAGATTTAGCAGCATCAAAGAGTGGAGATGGTAGCATAAATGCTTGTTTGCAACAGATCTTTGATCACACGAAGAACTAGAAGTCTGTCAATAGGTGTGTTGGTGAAGAACTCAAATACTCTTAAATGTTATCTCACAATTTAGTGCTGATGCAGAGCCAATTTCATTGCAAGTGAGCTTATCTTTTCTATGTCTATTTGGATACAATCTCATCTGGTTTGGTATTGGCAACATCTACTTCTCTCATGTATTGGCAACAACATATATGGCCTGCCATTTCTTAGCATCCTCCTGCTCTCTTCTCAACCTAATGTTTTCTTGGATTGATGATAGTCTGATGGATGATATGATATAATGGCAAACCTGTTGCTTATGACTTTTCCTATCATTTCACTCCAAAGATGAAAGATTGCTTCTGAGGTTTCTTATAGATGTCAAGCTGAAGCCTAAGAAACCATTCACATTTATGGTGGCAAGTTGTTATACATACCTCTAAAGTCTAAGACTACAACTCAGTGATATCATCATGAATTATTTGGGGTATGATTTGAACAATTACCTTGACAGAAGCTGTCTTTGCATTGCCAAATTTCCCAACCCAAAGTTCATTTATTTATTTATACTCTTATAAAAATGTTGATAGCTTTTGGCATTCTGAATCCCTATTCTCTTGACAAATAAAACTTCTCCTTTTATGCTTTTTCTAATGCACTCTCCTCCTACTTCCTTAAATTTTTAGACCTGAAAGTATTAATATCTTGATTTATGTTACCTAGAGAATGAATGAGATTTAGAATAGAGATGGAATAAATAAGTGAGTCAATGTGCAACAACTGAAGTTTCTGATTTCATTATGGATGAGTTTGATTGTCAAGCTTGAACAGTAGGTTAAGAATATAATTAGAAGAAGGGTGGGAAAATTGAACACACCTGTTGGGGTTTGCATTTGGATCTTCAAGAAGGTCCCCAAGGATGGTGTTGAAATGTTGCTCAAAAGATTTCTTGCCAACCCAACATCTCTGTGGCTGACTGCTGGCATCCAAATCCCTAATTTTTCCAGACTTCCAAAAAGTCAAAGGCCTTCTTCTAGAACCTACTGATCAAAAGCCAACATAAAAAGTCATTCAAATCTCTAATCTTTAAAGGGTTACCAAAAGGTCAAAGGCCTTCTTTTAGTTCCTAATGATAGAAAGCCAAATAGGGAAAAGGTCAAAAGCCATGACTTCTCAAGCTTTCTCCAATCCAAAGTCTGAGGCCTGGGTTTTCAATTGCCAAACAAGTCAGAAAACAGGAAATCAAAAGCCAGGATAAGAAATATACTGACATAATTATCAGTGATATATTAAGTACAGTGCATAAGTACCTGATGAGGACAAATTTGGTCACTATGTTGAGATGTGCATCTGGGTCCAATCATTTTTCTTCCCTTTCGTTGATTTGGATCCACATTACAAACATTTTGGTAGATTCTTCCTCTGATGAACTTAATGTTCAATCTTTAATAGACACATGTTTTAAAAGTTATATTTCACTGAGTTTTTAGCACAAATATATGATTGAGGAGTCACACATGTGGTGGCTTAGATCTAGCAGTGATGCAAAGTGTTGTCCTAAACAAGTATTCACCATGCATCATGGCAGCCAAGGCATACCCACCAATTATTATGATCATCATGTCAAAACATGGTCTTGATTCTAATTAAAAGATTATATTAATGTCATTTCCAGATTGGGAATTTCACAACACCAGACTTCAGCAACAAGAAAAAGATGCAAAACTCCAAAACCAATTGTACAACACTGTTAATTCTATTGTAGTTAAATGTAAGTAGAGCTTACTTTGCTTTGACTTGTCATGACTCTCTTAAGTGGCTCTTATCAAACTGAAGAGCCAACAATGGAATAAAAGAAGGCCTCTTTTCTTTTACCTCTACTCTGTTGTAGCTCTCATACCCACTGATAGTAGCACCATATGCTGTACCCTCACTCCTGCAGGAAGCAAGCATTACCTCCCTCTACAGTAGATTCATCTGAATCCAAAGAGGCAGTGGTGGCAATAATGACGGTGGTCCTGTTCATTTCTCCCCCTGCAAAAGGACACTGGTATCAGACTCTTTTAGCTTGGTCTAAGAACTGGTTGGTTCAATGCATCAGATTTAAGAGAGAAGAGACACATTCCTGCCTTGTTTAGGTGTGGTGATGGAGTTGGAATGGATTGTCAATCCAAACAGTAGCTTGTGATGAGAACAAAGATGGTTTGCAATTTGCCACCTGCTGAGACAAGCAAAGAAATTTCTTGAAATGACAATGATGCATATGAAAGAAAGACTGGGTTCCATCTCACCTGTTTCAACACACAAGTTGACATTCACAAAGCTGTGAGCATTGGCTTGATATAAAAGCTTGACAACCAAACAATCTGAATGTGCATTTGATAAGTTGACCGTTTGGCATTTTCTGGCTACCATGAATAGAAAGATGGATTATTTTTTGGAAACAGAGTACCAACTACTGCAGCACACAAATCACCAAAAGAGATTAAGGAGTGGAGAACGGGAGGAAGCAATTTGGCAGCAAATACAGAACAAGGCGTGGGCAGGACAGTGTCAAGTTGGCTAAACTTGCTCTTTGTTTATTGTTGTTGAGTTCTGGAGAGAGTTTCAGGACTATTAGTTTATACACATGACTGCACTGGTATTATTGTGATGAGCAAATCGATGTGCAGCTGCTGAGAAATCTAAGAGATGAAGGAATCCAAGCTAAACTTTACAGCTAAACTTCCCCCACATCTCTCTCTCATGTTGTGATTTCAAACACAATGCCAGCATAGAGAGAAACAAAGCAACAGGTTTCTACAGAGAAACTTGTGCATGGACTCTGATGCAGAACTTTTGCTGCAGATTTACTGAATAATAATTGTCTTGGATCAGAGTGCCAGACAAATGGACTGGAAGGATTACATGTACAACAACATGTCCAAGGGATGCATTTTTACAGTTTAATCCTTCTTCAATTAATCAAAATGCTTTTTTTCTATGGGTTTTTCTCCAGCAAGTTATCTGTGATTGTGACTGGTGACTCCATTATTTTAGTTATCTTTGCAAATTAAGATAATTATGGAGGGCAGTGCTCTATGTTGAGAAATTTCTCGGTAGTTGACCAGAAAATTTGGTCACCTATTTATGTTGACAGTTTTTCTAATTGAATCCTTCATTCACTTTGGAAGAAAAGATCAACAAGGGAGGGTCTTGAGATGGTGACATCTACCAAAGCCTGTTGTTGCAATATGACCCTCACATTTTTTGTGCTGTAACCATAGATAAAAGCCATAGGTTTACAGACACAGTTGGAGGTAAACAAATATGCACTAATGTAAGTATTGCTGCAGCATTTCTTCATCCACCAGCAGAATGCACTTCTCAGACAAGCTAACTGTTGCATGCATCTGAGTTTGGTATGATGCATTAAGATCTGCTGCCCATGCCATCAAAGCTCAAGGACAAGGCAAGGAAACCATTCTGACTGGTAGTAGGATCAAGAAAGAGATGGGATGGAGGAGGAAATGGTAGATGGCCAGGGGAGAGGAACCTTAAGCAACAAACCAGCTCAGTTTGCCACAATGGAGAAAAGAAACCATTAGCTCTACCCCACCACCACCCCAACTTGCATGGGGGATGCACGTTGAGAAAAATGGAATGCAGTGTATCTGCACCCATAGATAAAGTGGGACAGACATGAGACTTCCAATTACCCCACCCAACAGACCTACAATAGGCAGCAGCAGAAGCAGCCAAGGTAAGATATCAACATCGCATGTGTTTCTTTGAGGCACATCTCTCGCCACCATGCCTCTCCCAACCCTTATGACGAGCCTTCTGTCTTTCTCCTTCGCTCCCCTTGTGTCCCTGTCTCATATCTAAGGAAAAGAGAATGAGAGAACGCATGTGCACTGATTTCACATGTCATTCTCCTTTCAGTGTTCTTGGCACGGATTTAAAGAGAAAATCCATTCTAGGAGGGGTGGAATGACAAGGAGTTATTGATTTCTCAGTGCAGAAAGAGATTACAACAAAGGTATTGCATGTAATTTCTGTAGAGTCTTCTAGATCTTGTAAATTCTATTCTTGAGCACAAGGCTATTTGCAAAGCAAACAAGTTCTAAATGCCAAGGATTTGATTTTTTTCTTATTCTTCACAGCTTCATATTAGAATCTATTCAATCATTTCTTTTATGTATGCATCTTATGTTTTTGCTTTGCTTCTCTGTTTGATGGAAGTTGCTTTAATTTTAGTAGTGTAGATCCTCCAAAAGTTGGAAAACAACAGAGGTAATGTAATGCTGAAGATAGAATCAATGTGAAGGTGCAAGACATTTTATGTTTCTTTCTCTTTTTAATAGCAAGAATTAGTTCCTTCTCTTCTTTTTCCTATTCATCTTCTTTTTTTCTTGGTACATATAAAAGATTCCTTTGAGACTGCATGGTAAATCTATTTTTGTGGATGAAATCATAAAATTGATCTCATTTTCTTAAAGATTAAATTTTGGATCAAGGATCACATCCAGAAAACTAACCTCACTGTGATGGCCAATGCTTTCAGGCAATTTGTGATCCTGTTTTTGGAAACAAACCGCCTTCGCAGCACCCTTTCAAACCCTGAGCTTGGTGTGAGTTCGCCATAATCCCAATCTCAGAAAAGAAGGGTGTCGTCTTTCAGCAAAACCTGTTCACTTCACGGATCTGGGAGGAATTCAAACAGGACAGCTTTGTGATATAAGGCTGTGCTAAGTGGCTATTAGACCTCAAATTTAAATGAGCAGGAATTCTATGAAAGCATCTACTTATCTGAAAGAAGATTGGAGTTCCAGGAAGCTTGTCGAGAAGATGCTGTAATCAAACCTTTAAATGCATTTCGAGTTACTGAGCTATCAGTCGAGTATACCAAGCAATCAGACTGAGACAAGCTTGCTGGGTTGGTTCCATGGAGGGCAGAATGAGGAGGAAGAAACTGGAAAGTGGTGCAATTATTGGGCACAAGAGAACTCTAGTGCATGAGCCGGACCAAAGAGCTACTCCGACAGTCTATTTCAGCATGGAATCGTTTCTGCTGCTTCTCTTCCTCACTGCATCACTGCTGATACTCCCACTTGTACTGCCACCATTACCACCTCCCCCTTCCATGCTGCTTCTGCTTCCCATTGGCCTTCTCCTTGTGCTTTTGATACTGGCTTTTATGCCTTCAGATGCACGAAATATCACATCCTCCTACCTGTAAATATCTTGTGAGCTTTCCTTTTGCAAATCATGAGTGAGTACATCTTCTTTCCTTTAGTTATTTTGAATCGAACCTGAATATTTCCTCCGACATGGCTGTGATTTCATATCACAAAAGCTAATGTCAGGTGGATGTGTTGCCACCTCTGAACATCTTCGTATAGAATTTCTCCATTAAGAACTACAGATGCTAACAAGGGAGATCATTTTAAGCAAGATGTTGAGAGAATTGTATTATTATGAGCTTGCAACGTTCCCTACTCCTGCTGATAAATATCGGAAATTTGCACTGAGCTTACAAGATCTCAACACTGCCGACAAGCAAATAGCTCCAGCTAAGAAGCTTGAAACAGGGAACAAACTGAATTTATCTGACTCATTTCTCTTGAGTTGTGACAGCGAAAAGCTTCAAGGACTAAAGTTGTCATAGAGAGATGCCATACCGACAAGGAGCTTTTGGTGCTCACGGGTTTAGAGAGACTGTCTCACTTGTCTTCTGCATGATCCAAGTATAGTGATTGAGAAATGTCATACATAAAGAAATTGAACCAAATTTTTGTTAACACTGTTCCAAAATACATATTTGAGCAAACAACACATCTGAATTTATTTGAAAAGACTCTGGTTGTCAAATATTAGTTTGATCATTTTGTTTTATCAAGAATGCAAGAAATGATGATTCTAATGTAAATCTATGAAATAAAGCATGGTTATCAATAACACATACAGCTCTCAGAAAGATCTCAGAAAGATAAAAGGACACTCAGCCTCACTACACCCTTCCTATTTTTTTCTTTTTTCTTTTGTTAAATAGGCTATCAATATCTTCCTGCCACCCTCCTTGTAAAAATTTCTGAAATAATATAATCTTATAAAAAGTTCATTTTGCTTGTTATGAGCCCTTGCAAGTTGCAACCACAGTCATTGTTCAGGCATCGCATTTGCTGCTTGAAAGGTACTTCCCTATATTCTATGGAAAAAAACCTGGAACGAATGATTGTTGATTATAACTGGATGTATATAAGTATGGAGTAGAGGAGTTAATATCATTGTAAGGTGAGAGGACGAGAGTCAATAGTTTTTGCTTAAATCTGATTAATTTATGCCTTATTTTTCATATTTTACTTCTTGTACTGTTTGCAAAATCTGATTAATCAATGCAGCTAAAGGATCAACATCCTATGGTCACTGGAGACTACTTCTTGATATCTTTGGCAGCATTGTAGCTTCAGGAAGGCTTCTGAGAGTATCCAAACGTACAGAGCATGCACAAAGGTGGCAGGAAAGACTGCAGCTGCTGGGTTACAATTGTTATCTTGGTAGGTGCAGTTGCTTTTGCTATATCCTGACATGCATAATGTAATCCATCAATTCAGAAACTATTTGGCCCTCCCTTGGTGCAACTCTGCATCTTACCTTTGCTGTGAGATGAATCCACCATTGTCTTGCAGTCGGAGATAACCTGAGTTTTTAGATCCTCAGACACCTCCTGTGTCTGTGGCAGTATACAGAGGGTAGTCAGTGCTATCAGGACACTAGGTCATCTGTGGTATCATTTTCCAAGCTATAATCATCTTTTTAGCCACTTCTATATCCATCATGCCACTAAGAATCAAATCAACCACATAGAATTGATGCCTAACAGCACAATTATTTGATCTTTTCAAAATTTTCTTATGTTTAACAGGCAACAATGGTGTGTCAACTGTTGACCCAACTTTAATCCAATTTCAATGCTTCAACTAATTTCTCTTGTTTTCATTCTCCTTTCAACTAATTTAGTATGTAATAGTTTGTATATGTTGAACATCTTATGTTCTTTCTGATGAATATTGATCACAATCAGTTTAAATCTTTACCAAAGCTTGATGGATCTTATTCAAAGATTCTAACAAATAGGTCTTAAGGGACAAAATGTCTTTTTCTTAGTATTAGTATCACACAGTAAACCTATGTGTGTGTGTATGTATATAATAATATATATATATATATATATATATATGATTTGAGAGAGTAAACTTTTACATTTAAATATTTTATATTTACTTTCCATATCATAGATTAATCTATTATTACCAAAAGAATTATTTTAATATATTACTATATTATGATTGTGGCCATCATGGTTAAGCTAAATTTAATTACTATACTTAAGCTTTTCTGACTCCTAAATTTATGAACCAAACATGTCCAAGATTTGATTATTCTGATTTAGGTTCCTGTAAATTTGAATTTAAATAATGAGCCATAGACCACTTGTGTCTTTTAAATAAGATTATAGCTGGTGTAAGATCCACAGTCATGCCTTGCAAGTTCAAGCTTTTGCATCCTCACCAAAAATCTTCTTCTTCCAAATAGATTTGAGGCATTAGTTTGTGAGTACATTCTACCCAAACCTGATGGATCAGTGTTGTAACTGCATACAGATCATGGGTATCCATTGGTCTCATCTTGAGAATTTTATTTCATATGTATGGGTAGTGAAGTGGTCTAGAGAATTGGACATTCTTTCACCCAGGTGCAGTTTTATTCAATCCTGAACATACTCAAACTGCACACTGTGGTGCTGGCTCTTTGTTCTAGGAACAATTGCAAAAATGTCATCTCCCAGCATCTTGGGGTTTGTAATTAGATTCTAACAGGAAAACAAGGATGGTCCTCTCAGCTGTAATCATGTCCTATAACCTATCTAGGTACATGAAGGGATCAACAGGATTAATGCACAAGGTGGAGCATCTTAAAGAGGTTTCTCCGGTCTTAAATCATGGGAAGCGTAAAAGAATCGCAATATGGACTTGGTACAGATGAAGATACTTATGCTACAGATGTACATAAAGCAATGAGATGCTAGGTTAGGACCTCTTACATGGTTTAAGCAATAGAGTGTGGTCAACCAACAGCATTGTAGAGTGTAGGAGAAGGGGCATGAGCTCTTGTCTTTCAGGAAGGGACCGGGCATGAGATCTTAATTGTTTAAAAGGTTCCACTGTTGTGTAGAGATAAACAGGAATCAAAGATTTTTACATATTATTATTAGAAATAAGGTAAAAGACCCAGTTTCAGTGTTACAAACAAATAGCGACAAGAAAATGAAGGAATACATTATTAGTCCATGGGTTTTTCCAAGATGAAACTTTTTTTTTTAATTTTCCAGAATATCCAAAATGACAGAGAAAAAGAATATCCTCTTTTAAGTTTCCTACCATGGACAAACAATTACAATTGAATCCAAAATAATAATATTAAAAGCTGAGGAACAGGTTAAGATAGAACCTGATTCAGAAGAGAGAAGGGTGCACACCTTAGCAAGACTCATTCTTATTTTCTCTTTTTTAACCAATCATGTCATAAGAAAAATCAAGCAGAACAAGACCAGAGCCTGAAAAATAGGAAACAAGATGCCTATGTCAATTGTAGTTTGAATTACTTGGTAGATGAATTGATAAACTTGAAGATGCTCGACTACAATTAAATCCATTTGACATGCTCATTAAGTTGAGAAATTTTTATCGTCTCTGAATTAACTTTTTGACTTTGAGCTCACCTAGATTACTGGAAGATGTCCCAATTGATTAAGAGCCCTTAATCTCCTTTTCTCTTTCTCTGTGTGGCTGAGAAGATACTGGATTCATGCTTGACAATTTGTTCAATTTCTATGCCTGGAAAAGGAGCAATCGAACAAATAGAGATCAGAGCAGCCAGTATTGATTTGTTGCAACATACTTGGTACTAATTTCTAAACAAAAGAGGTCTAAATATTTGCAAATGCAGCCAACATCTTTCCACTTAAATAAAACTTACAATAATGAACCTAGAATCTAGCTCTAGTGTATATAAGTAATAGTACCAACTGTTTAAAATTTCTTTGAATTTCCACATCCATGTGCTTATTGTAAAAATGGTTAATAAAGGTGACTGAAGGTTCACCAGATTCTCTTTGATCTTCATTACACTAAGATTTCATTCTATGTACTGCTCCAACCTTACTGTAGAACCACCATAAACATGTTGTTCATTTATATATAACTAACACAACAACAGATCTTCTGATCTATCTAGAACCCTACAAATATTGGTTGTAAATTCTTGGTGCTACCAAGAACTAAAATATAGAAGATTTCATCAGTTACATTCTATACACAATCCGGCAGGTCCATCCTATGGCCTTATCTAACAAATTCTCCAGCAGTACTAAGTACAATTTCTGGATTCACCAACTTAATACTGGAGGTGTCATGCTTACACCCCAAATTACAAGGGCTTTCACTGTCCATTTTTGCGCAAACTAATAGTCAAAACCAACAAAAGTCCATTTAGGATCAGTTGACATGGCAACAACCAGGCATGTACTGCTACAGAGGACTAAATGAAGTAAATTCGACATCTTCATGATTTCTTCTCCTATTATTGGAAAAAAAAAAAGTTTCTGTACATGATGGCTTGCAGAAAAAGTCATCCTGATATCCTCTTCTTCTCATTCACTAGCTAGAAAGAAAGTGGAATCAAAATACAGTATCTCAAAAGGAAGAAAGGACATGAGAATGGACATCTATAAAGAAAAGTGAGGGATGTGTGTGGGAGGACCAGGAAACACCTTTTGTCGGATGGTCCAGGCTCCACCACTGATTATTTGATTTCCACTGCCAAATTTTCTAGAGAAAGAAAAGTAAATGATCTGTTGAGGTCCAATAAATGTACCAGTTGCATGATTTCACACTACCTATGAGTTGTGATTGGCCATGTCCATGAGGACTTTTAACTTTTATGTATTTTGCAAGTTCTCTATTGATACTTTTACATCTAGTAGGCTTATATCTTGCAGTACTGTCATATACAAGACATGAAACATACCAAAATCATGTTTCCATCTGAGTTCTCTGGTTACATATCCTGCAACTGAATCTAAACTAATGAATCCTCGTTAGCTGTTTCCTCCACAGCTTAGAAAAGTCCAGTTCTGATAAGTAAAACTCTGAGATGTTTGAACTCAATAATGTTGACTTTTCTCCTTCCTACTATTGTTCATCAATTACGTCAGTTGATAACAAATTTATGTGTCAAAGAACTGCATTGAGGACAGCAATGTGGTCTTGTGCCAAATGAATATTAAGATGAAATATTTACATGGTTTCATCTGCCATGAAATTTTCATCTGCTTATATATACAGAGACAGCAAAAGTTGAGCTACTGACAAGTCTTTTCTTCTGATTTGATCCTTAAATATGTTTTGATCACAGTATATCTCATGTCCACTTACATATAATTGCAAACTTAAATAAGTTTAAGCCATGATGACAAAATGGTTTAAGAAGGAAAAGTAACGGCAGAAAAAGAAGAATTATCATTCCACACAATATGATCCCCCTATGACATCAAATTTCATGTGAATGGAAGACAAAGTCTCATTTAATGACCATTGGAACTTTTATAACCCCAGTCTCTCATATACTCAGTCCAAAACCTTTCCCTTCTTCTCAAGGCAACCAAAAGGCCTTTGTCTTCCGCTATCACCTTTAGATTCTTCAAGGTCAATGGTGATAAAGCTTATGACTTCTCCATGAAGTGTTTCTAGAATCATTCTTCTCTCTTCCAAACTAAAATCTCTCCTCTTCAAACCCTTAAATTATCCTATCCTCCATATTGACTAGAATGCAAAACAATTCACCTTAGTATTTTGTTCAAATTACGGATGTAAATGTCAACCCATGAACAGCACATTCGATTCATTCATATCCACAAGAATCTTCCAATCCCCATGCACTCAACTTGCCCTTATCTAAAGCTCTACTTAAACCCCCAATCCCCTTCACATTCAATTGTCACCACAAGGCTTCAGTCTTATAGTGAGAGATTGCTAGAGCAAGATATAAACAGAGAAAGGCACAGCTGAAAGAGAAGAGAGAGATTAGAATGAAGGAAAAAAGAGGAAGAGAGATGGAGAGAAAAGAAGAGGGAAGGCAAGCTTTGATACCGGGATTACCGGACGACATAGCTTTGGACTGCCTCGCCCGAGTCCCGCACCGATTCCACTCGGGTCTCCGACTCGTCTGCTATGGTTGGCGGGATCTGGCCACCGGCCCGTGCTTCTACCAGCACCGGGAGCGTATTGGGGCGGCGGAGGACCTGATCTTCCTCGTCCAAGCCCTCGTCAAGAAGGGCTCCGGAGACGGCGGCGAGGCTAAGGAAGAGGATGAGGCGGAGAATGGCTGCTCCGCCGCAGTGTGCAGCCCGCCGACCTACGGGCTGAGCATGTACAACGCGACCGAGGGGTCGTGGCACCGGGTGGTGATGGCGGAGCCGGTGCCGCTCTTTGCCCATGTCGTGGCGGTGGGCGGAAAGCTGGTGATGGTCGGGGGTTGGGACCCTGTGACCCTCGAGCCGGTGGCAGAGGTGCGGGTGCTGGATCTGGCGGGGGGGGAGTGGCGGCGGGGTGCGGCGATGACCGCGGCGCGCAGCTTCTTCGCGTGCGCGGCTGTGGCGGGGAGGGTGTACGTCGCCGGGGGCCACGACGCGGGGAAGAACGCGCTGCGGGAGGCGGAGGCGTACGACGCCGCGGCGGACCAGTGGGCTGCGATGCCGGCGATGGGGGAGGAGCGGGACGAGTGCAAGGGGGTGGCTGCGGGTGGGCAATTCTGGGCGGTGAGTGGGTACGGGACGGAGGAGCAGGGGATGTTCGGCGGCGCAGCGGAGCGGTACGACGAGGCGGCAGGGGAGTGGCGGAGGGAGGAGGGGGTGTCGGAGGCGGCGGCGGAGGGTGGGAGCGGCGGCGGCGACGCCGCGTACGTGGGGGTGGCCAGGGGGAGGATGTGGAGCGTGGAGTGCGGCGGGGGGAGGAGAGGGGTACGGGAGTACGCGGGGAGTGGAAGGGGATGGAAGGAGGTAGCGCCGCTGCCAGAGGGTGCGATGTCGAGGCCGTGCGCGGCGGCGATGGGCGGCGGGGAGAGGGTGTTCCTGATGGCGGCGACGGCGGAGGGGAACGGGAGTGGGCCCCACCGGGGGTGGATCCTGGAAGCGGGGTCCGCGAATTGGGCCCGAGTCGAGACCCCGGTCCGGTTCTCCGGGTTCGCTTACTCGGCCGCTGGGGTCCGGCTTTAAATCATTAGACGTCGGTCGAACCGGTCCACTCCCCCATCCCCAAATCCTGTAAATTATGCCTCTAATTTGGAGACTCCTTAATCATACTTAATACTATAATCACCGTTAAATCCTTCAATCTCAAGCATTAAGCATGAAATTTTTAGTTCTGTCCCTCCAATTTGTATTTGGGTAAAAGCCACCTGTTGCTTTGATCACTCTCCACATGTTGTAATCTCAATCTTGTCATATCTCATATTAATTCCTTCATTCGAGTTGAGTTGAGCCCAAGACAAAATTAGGAACCCGAGTTGAGTCGATTGCGAGCGTCGAAATAAGCACTTGAATCAGATTCGAATATCGACTTGCGTACATTACAATTCAATTCGAATCTAATCTAATTAATCTTGCATCTCCACGTCGAAGATGCAGAAGCTTCGTCTCCGTTTTGCATGATTCCCCGTGGGGTAACTGCTAACCATGCAAAGACAACAGCAAGATATATATGATCCAGCATTTTATATGATCCATCAACTGATGACCCGCGAACGAACGCTTCCAATCTCCGTATAAAACATGCAGGTCGCCTGTCGCGGCTCCGTTCACCCACCGCAGCCTTCGTCATGCCGATCCCACCTGTGAATGAATCCATGCGAGACTTAGTTGTCGTTTGTGCCGGACGGCCACATGTCTATAAATTCCCGGCTTTTCCTTCTTGAGCTGGAGGAAGAATGGAAGCGAAGAAGGAGATCGAGGTAGCAACAGAGAGGGACGCCGAAGTCGTCCTACAAGTCACCGGAGAAGGTGGCAATGGTGGTAAGGAGGAGGAACGAGCAGCCATGGACGTCAGCAGCAGAAGCAGGAGAGTCGCAGCACTGGATGCATTCAGAGGCTTGACTATAGTCGTACGTGCACACACACACATACACCTCCTTTAGGACGTATGGAATTCGTCATGTTTAGTTTTGTGTCGATGTAGATGATGATTCTGGTGGATGACGCCGGGGGAGCGTACGAGCAGATCGATCACTCGCCGTGGAACGGATGCACGCTTGCGGACTTCGTCATGCCCTTCTTCCTCTTCATCGTCGGCGTTGCCATCGCTCTCGCACTCAAGGTATGGCAACAAGGCACACCAGCAACCTTGTTCTTGTGTTTCAACATATGATCCTTTCCAAATGTTTGCAGAGGATAACACAAGTCTCCGCTGCAGTAAAGAAAATTGTGATTAGAACACTGAAGCTTCTGTTATGGGGATTAATCCTGCAAGGTGAGAGATCCAAGCATTTTTCTGCATCCCATGAAGAATTGTTTGCTATCTGATGAAGGTGGTTCTTATCATGTTTGGACTGTGGGCTCTGTATGTGATGAAGGTGGATACTCGCATGCTCCCGATGACCTCTCCTACGGCGTCGACATGAAGAAGATACGATGGTGCGGCATTCTCCAGGTCCCAGATTTCAAACCTAACTGTGTCAGATTCTTACAAGTTTTGTCCATTAATATTGGTTCTTCTTTGTTGTGGAGTAGAGAATAGCACTGGTGTATCTGCTGGTGGCTCTCGTAGAGGTTGTGACAACAAAGATCCATCCTACCACAATAGGCTCGGGGCCTTTTGCAATGTTCAATGCATATCGTTGGCAATGGTGATGATCTCAATTCAATTGTTCTTATAAGTTAGAACAAGATATAAATGATTGATTTAGCCTACTTTCGACGTGGAACTAACTGAGATGTTACATCGTATCAGGATTTTTGGATGCGTTGCCTTTGTAGTTTACATGGCCACAACTTATGCTCTTTATGTTCCGGACTGGAGCTTTGTTTTCCATAGAGAAGGTGATGTCAATGATGGAAAGAGATTTGTGGTATGTTTGACACTGTTTCCTGATCTTCTCATGCTATCTAAAGCAAACAAGAGTTGCCTGTACAATCGTTGCGTCGTTTTCAGGTGAAATGTGGTGTGAGAGGACATTTAGATCCAGCATGCAATGCAGTCGGCTATGTGGACAGAGCAGTCTGGGGAATCAATCATCTTTACACACAACCAGTGTGGATCCGATCTAAGGTAAGTCTTGAGCAATGCAGATTTGGCTTTTCAATCTTCTTAGTGGGAAAAAGGAGTGTGGATTTCAAGTTTATTGAGTGTGAATCACCCCAAGAGGCTTTCCTGCCCATCCCATGTTTGACAAAATGACCAGGACTGTTCACAAAGTTCACCTGATATGGGTCCACTTAAAGAAGATGCAGCTTCGTGGTGTCTTGCTCCCTTTGAACCAGAAGGCTTGCTGAGGTATCTCAGAATTCCCATCTCAAATCATCACTGATGCAGCATTTCTATTTTCTCTCAACATCAAGTTTACAGTTATTATTGTACTAAAAGATGCATTCTTATCTTCGGCCTGCAGTTCGGTATCAGCCATCCTTTCTGGAACAGTTGGAGTTCATTATGGCCATGTTTTAATCCATTTAAAGGTGCTACTTATTTGCACATCAAATTATGGCTTGGAAACTTTTATCCAACAGTAGATTTCAGTTTCTTCAATGTTCTCTACAATATCTGTGTATCTTTGAGATGCATTTCATCCAAGCATTGATCATCATACATTGGATTTCTGAATCTAATTAGGGTCACTCGGAGAGACTTAAGCATTGGTTGCTGACGGGGTTTGGTCTTCTTATTTGTGGCATCACCCTTCACTTCACAAATGGTACTACTCTGGTGTTCTCTCATAACTAAGCTCTGTTCCCCTTTGCTAACATTGATTTGGCTGCTTGACATAGCTATTCCTCTCAACAAGCAACTGTATAGCTTTAGTTATGTCTGCTTCACAGCTGGGTCAGCAGGCATTGTTCTCTCAGCATTTTATGTAATGGTATCTCTCTATTACAGATCACTAAGCTCAATTTACCTACATTGCTTGGTAGTACAAGCATGGAAGTATCATCAAATCCTCTGACCATATATGATCTTTAACTACTGACAGATTGATGTATGGGGTATCAGAACACCATTCCTGTGGCTGGAGTGGATTGGCATGAATGCAATGCTTGTTTTTGTTATGGCAGCCCAAGGAATCTTCCCTGCATTTGTGAATGGATGGTATTATGAAACTCCAGATAATTCTCTTGTATGTGTAGCCAGCCTTAAGGATCATTCTCAATATTTCATTAAAATTCGGCAGGCGAAAAACATTAATTTTGACCACATATTTCTTCCATCTGCAGGTCCATTGGATCCAAAGGCATGTCTTTGTTAAAGTTTGGCATTCAGAGAGATTGGGGATGCTATTGTATGTGCTATTTGCTGAGATTGTCTTCTGGGCAGTAGTAGCAGGCATCTTGCACAAGCTGGGTCTCTACTGGAAACTCTGAAAAGTGTACATTCAAATGATTTGGACTGCTTTATTCTCACTCTTTGTAATGTGTCCAAGTTCTTGTATCTTACAATCATATCACCTGGTTCATATGGCAAGACAAAAAAGCACAATTCTATCATGAGATCTTTACCTTGGTTGTGTATCTGTTAGTAATGAATGAACTAAAGTAAGTTCATGTAGTGTGTATGAGAGATTTTGCTCACTATACGACATGACCCGATCGGATAACCGATCCATTAGATAGATTTGAATCATTAGCTCAAAATACTTAAACGGAAGTTAAGATAATGAACTTTTTAGTCCTTATAAATTCAATCAAATCTATACTTACTTTCGATACGAGACTAAACTGGAATATTATTTATGCAAACAATTGTTAAGTATTTAGCACTCAGACGAACACCATCCGAATCATATACAGCACACAATTCAAATACTCTCAAACGAGCACACAATCTATATCCACATGGCCGACTTAGATCTTGAACTCAAGATGCAGCTTCCGTTCCTCTCACTTGGGCTCCACTTTTGGTGAGTACGGCCCACCGCTGTAGTCAAAGGAAACATCACTTTGGTAAGGATGGCTCCTGCGTTCCCCTCCGAAGCTTGCAGAGTTTGATTCAGATGCAATGTACGGGTTCATGCCGGCCAACACCATGATGTTCTCGATCTCTTTCGCCACCTCGCTCATCCATGGCCGGTCGGCGCTCGAATCCTCCACGCACTTCATCGCCAACTCCACGAATCGATCGAGTCCCGGCAGCGTGCTGTTAATGCAGACGGCAGGATCGAGAAGCTCACGGAGGTCGTGCAGGTCCGGCGACTTGTTGATGGCGTTCCTCACCTCCCTCACGATGAATCTCCCACGCTCTATCGGCTTCCTCGCCGTCACAAGCTCCAACAGCAGAACGCCGAAGCTGTACACGTCGCTCTTCTCCGTCAAGTGCTGGGTCATGTAGTACTCCGGATCCAAGTATCCCTGCAACAAGAACAAGCATTTGTTGTTCTTTGAGATCCTCAGGTGGATTCTCACAGCGACATTATCTCAAGTTCCACTGTATCCTGCACTCACCATCGTGCCTTTTACTTGCGTGGTGATGTAGCCTTTCATGTCGTCGTTCAGTGGTTTGCAGAGACCGAAATCAGAAACCTTTGCGTTGAGATGGTGGTCGAGAAGGATGTTGTTGGACTTGACATCCCTATGGATTATTCTGGGGTTTGCGAGCTCATGCAGGTAGGTGAGACCTCTGGCTGCATCGAGTGCTATTCGTAGTCTCTTCTTCCAATCCAAGTGAACTCCAGATTTCCCTGAACGTTTGCAGTGGCAAATCTCAGATCAGAACACAAAGAACCATCTGTGTCTGCTTGTTCATGGAGTGAGGAAGAAGGCAAGAAAGTACCTGAAAGACTATCTCTTAGCGAGCCATTAGGGATGTACTCATACACCAGTATCTGTTCATTGTGGTCGAAGCAGAAGCCAACAAGGCCCACAAGGTTCCTGTGATGGACTCTGCTCAACATCTCTATCTCAGTCTTGAATTCATGTTCACCCTGCAAAGATCCTTGTTGAGCTCTCTTTACAGCAATCAGTTGCCCATCATCCAGTGCTCCTCGGTAGACCTGTAAGCATCAAGTCATTGGACTTCAATACTTGCTAAGATTCACCGAGACTGAAGACAAAAGTGTGCAGATTACTTTTCCATAGCTTCCGGTCCCGAGAACATTCTCTTCTGAGAAGTTGTTCGTGCACTTGGTTAGTTCTTCAAACGAAAACAATCTTGATCCTTTCAGCTGTGGGACGCCACTGCCACCTTGGCTAGGATACCATGATCCTGTCCAGAGCATGAGAGAATGTCAAGTTGGGGTCTGCAACACCTGAGAAGAGTAGAAGCTGCTACTTCCTTACCAGAAGGCAGACTTTGTTCTGTGGCCTTCTTAACCTTTCTTCGTCGTCGTCGAATTGCGAAAATGATCAAACCTGCTAGCACAGAGGCAAGAAGCAATCCTCCAACTGTAATTCCTGCTATCAAACCTGCATTTTTCGATTTCGAACCTGATTCTGCTCCCATGAGGAGTGACATATCAAAATATCATGTATCAGATTGATTCAGTATCAACGTTAGATATCCGAAATTTGTTGACAGAAAAAGATAGGATGTATGGACAAGTAATTTTACCAGCAAAACTTGGATATGGTTTGGCAATGAAATAATAAGGCCCAAAACCAGGAGGAGCCTTGAAAGTGGTGTTGCTGAATAGGTTTGCAAGTAGAACAACCTCAGGCTCATCAAAGTGAACTTTGCTAGAAGGGAAGATCCACATATCAACTTCGAAGTAATTGTAGAGATTTATTTTTGGGTTTTGCAGGGACAGGGAGCCGACAGGAACCTGGTTGTCCTGGAATGACCCGGAAAGATATCTCTCTAGAGTCTGATAGTATGTGTAGTTCTCTGTATTGGAGAAGGTCAAGAATCTGAAAACAATGGTGCCCTCATATGGATATGAACAGATGCAATTGGGGCTCATCTCCTGATCTGAGGTGCAGACACTGGCTCCGCAGTTTTGCATGGGAGTCGAATACGTGGCTGCCGGATTCGATTGCTGTGCAACATCGCAGTACTTGCTTACTGATCCTTGTTGATCGCAGTAAGGGTTACCTTCAAGTCTGTGAATCCCAAACATGGAGCAGGAGAAAAGAAAGTTATCTGAGACCATAAAACAAACATTTCAAGTGCAAAGAACAAATGTCGAGCGCAAGCATCTTACTGCAGTTCATTAGAGTACCCTCCATAATACAGTTCTTGAACCCTATTGTCCTGCACATCGACAAGAGTAAGCTGCTTGCTGTATTGACTGCCCAGGTCCAGTGTGCCATTGATGAGGTTGCTCCTCAGCCGTCTGCCCCGAACAAAATCCTCAGCTCAACAGCTCAAGTCATAGTCTCACAAGGCAAAACGAAACGGTGGATCACATGAATCATACTTACGCCTTCTGCATTTGGGGAAAGCCGAAAAGAGATGCCGGTATTTGCCCTGAAACCTTCAAGAACTCCAACATTCTGCAACCAGAAAGGATGGCAAGTCATAGAAAGAAATGTATGGTATCTGCCATGCATGGAGAGGAGGATATAGAGCGATCGATACAAGGTCGTCAATGATGGCAAGGTGGAGAACCAAGGTGGAACATCTGATACATCAAATGAGTTGTTGCTCAAATCCCTGCACAACAATTATCATGGTTGGTGCAGCAGGTGAGTGAAGACAGCCGAGTCACAGCAAACCATCAAAGATGTCAATCTAACACAATATATGTATGTACTCACACATAGGCAAGCGCATCCATTCCTGTAAGGTTCGGCAAGGGGCCACTGAGCTGGTTGTTTGATAGTTGCCTGAGAAGCAAATGTGATAGATACTCTTCAAAGCACTACAATTGCAGCAAAGAAGAGGCCTGCTGCATGCCGAAAGAAAGAAGCACTCACAGTTCTGCAAGTTTGGTCAGGTTATTGAGGTTGGAAGGAACAGCTCCAGTCAATTGATTCCTGTCAAGCCGCCTGCGTAGAACATGTATCAGACATAAGATGCGATTGTGCACAGTGTTCATTGCCTATACTGTCACTTCATTCATCCACTCACAAAGCTTCCAAAGTATCCAGGACTCCAATGGTTTCCGGAATGCTGCCTGTCAATTTGTTGCTATCAAAGAGCCTGTGCACAGAAACTGATCACTGGCTTGCAAAGAAGCAATCTTACTCTAGAGAGAGAGAGAGAGAGAGAGAGAGAGAGAGAGAGAGAGAGAGAGAGAGAGAGAGA